AATAAACCAGTTTTATTAGGTAAGGACTTGTGTCGCTAAAGTTTCGTGGGAACGAAGTTACGGAAAGTTAACTAACAAATGGAGAGTAACACCGGGAAGAAAAGGTGCTCTTTTTGTGCACAGTGGGTTCCCTTTATATGTTGCATTGTTGTGTGTCTTTTCATTATTAGAGCATTCATCATTTACTACCCATGTATCAAACAACTTTACCTTCTTTCGTTACTAAAGTGTTAATTAAAACATTGTTGGATGTAAACACGTTGTCTTCGCGCTCCATTTGCTGAGCATGTTGTTTTTTTCTACTGCAGAAAATCCTTGTTTCCACCTTTCTTACATGGCTATAAATCAGTCATCTAGTAACAGTAAAGTGCTCCTTGCCAAGAAGCCCAGGAAAACAATTTACATAGTGAGGATGATTAGTACAAATGTTGACAAGATCAAGGCGAGTGCTCGGTAATGCTACACCATTAAGTGCTGGAAAGATTGACCGTTCAAGAAGTGCAGTGAGGAAAAATATGGAGCAGCTACTGTAGGCTTAGGTTGATAATCAGTGCCAACAAAGAATGCCACTCAGCTTGATGATGATACAAAACAAAGCAAGGAGTTTATATGACGATTTGAAGGCTAAGAAAGGGGAATCATCACAATAGGAGACATTTATTGCTAGCGATGGATGGTTTCATTGCTTTCAGCGCCAGTACGATTACCAAACCATCAAGGTAACTGGCAAGGCTGCTAGTGCAGATGAGATTGCAGATGAAAAATTCCCTGCTCAGCTGAAGAAGATCATTGAGGAAGGAGCCTATGCTCTGAAGCAAGTGTTTAATGTTGAGGAAACTGGCCTATTCTGGAAGTTGATGCCCAGTCATATCTACACCTCCTGGTTTCAAGGCAGTCAAAGACCACCTTACCCTGCTACTTGGAGGTAATGCAGCTGGAGACAAGAAGATGAAGACGTTGCTAGTCTACCATTCTGCTACTCCAAGAGCACTCAAGGGGTACTGCAAGAACAATTTCCCCATGATTTGGAAACACAATAAAGAGACGTAGATAACTGGGACAATTTTCACTGAGTGGCTCAGCTTGGAAATAGTATTGTGCCAAAGAAAACCTAGCTTTTAATATTCTGCTCATTGTTGATAATGCCCCTGCTCATCTCATGGACATTGGTGATTTATGTGAGAATGCAAAGGTGGTGTTTCTCCCTTCAAACACCACTTCATTGTTATGATCCACGGATCAAGGTATCATCAAGGCATTTAAATCACTACCTGCATACCGCCTTTGGCCAGCTCCTCAAATCCACTGACGGTGATAACAAACCAGCCACTCGTGAGTACTGGTGTGGCTTCAACATCCTTAACTGCATTGATAACATCAATCA